CTCAGGAACGTTTTCGTCTCTCAAATTGAAGTTGGGAGAGGAATATTGAAATGCTGTTGCCACTATACCTTTCTCTCATTCTGTCATTCTGCGTCCCATTTTATGCTCAGTAATGCATGTTGTAGTGAACTGCTTAAATTCAACCCTGACACACTGCTTTGGTATTAGCAGTGCTTGCTTGGATTGTTTTTTGGGTCAAAAGGTCAAATATCAAGGTTTCAGTCCAACATCACACAGTACTTTCCTACCAACAGGCTTGCTTGGCTTTTTGATGTGGAAGCTGATAGATAGATAATTGTCACTGTTACTAGCAATAGAAAATTTGTTTCTGCTCAATAACTTGAGCTTTCGTGGACTGCTCGGACTCAAAATTTCCAGACTATTTTCTCAAATAACTGTTCTTGTTAGTTACCAACCATTGAAACTTGGAGGGGCAATAGCTTTCTTCTCTGTCCCTTTATCCCTTCATCCATGAAAGTTTGTCAGCACTCTAGAGGCATCATTACTAGAGGGATTCTCATCAAACTTCACACTCTTATTCAGCATCAAAAGTATGACACATATGAGTTTTCAGGGTTGTAGGGTCAAGGCTATCATTTGCACTCTACTGACTTCATACAGGGTTTTCAATCAAACCTCAAACACTTACAAATGACCAAATACACTTAGGTGATAAAACTGTATTGTCATATTGTAATCCTTAGTTAATTTCCCATTTTAATCAGTTACTAACTAATTGTGTACTTGCTTCTTTTTTCCCAAAAACAGCACCATATTTATATATCATTAAAGTGCAATAGCTCTTGAGGGCCGATAGGGGACATGTATTGCTTTATCTATTCTCAGTATGCTTGTTAGGACCCAACATTGAGATGCGGGTGCCCTATATTAATCAACTTGTCTGTCCATCCGTTTTTTGGTTTCTGTACAGTATCTCAAAGTCTGTTTGACCAATTGCACTCATACTTTATGCAAAGCCTCCTTGAAGGAAGTGCTTACTTGGGGGATGTAGTTTTTCATCTCCCAAGGTTAAACTTCAAGGTCACTGTTGCTATAAATAGAAAATCAGTTTCCATGTGAAAACTAGAGTTCGCTTTGGCTGATCTAAAAATGTTTGAAATTGCCATTCAGGTCCAAAGGTTAAAGGTCACTCTAACTATAAGTTAAATTCAGTTTCTGTGTGATAACTAGAGTTTGCATTGGATAATCTAAACCAATGCTTCTTAACCATAAGTGTTTGTTTGAGATTGCCATTCAGGTCCAAACATTAAAGGTCACTCTAACTATAAGTTAAATTCAGTTTCTATGTGATAACTAGAGTTTGCTTTGCCAAATCTAATTCAAACTTCATAAAATGCTTCCTGAGCAAAATTGCTCACTTGGGATATTGCTTTTTATATCCCAAGTTCAAAGGTCAAGGTCATTTTTATTGTAAATAAAAAAATCAGCTTGTTGAATGTATTTGTTAGTATGTCAATATGGGTTGTTATTTTTAGTAAGTCTTTCTTGACTTTTGTGGCAGAGTGTACTTAAGGTCTTGCCGCTAATCAGTCAGTCTGGGGTGTGTGTCTAAGATAAGCTGGAGGGAGGGGATGGTGGATTTCCAACCACATAGTTGGGCCCTTGCTGATCTGTCAGTGTTCTAGTTATTTTAGGATTGCTTTCTAAATCAAATTGTCAATTCAGGTCATTTTCAAATTCAAAAGTTCCCCTCGATAAGTCGAGTTCCTCTTGAATTTACCTTAATTGTGTACAAAATATAAACAATCTACTTGTATAGCTTGTAAAGATGGGAGGTAACTCTAACAGATGTACACTGTTAAAGTAACTATAGAAGAAATGGGTAACATTTTGTTTATTATTTGGTTGCCAATTTCGAAACAAACATGTAAATAATGGTAACCTCCAGAATTGTTGTCATTGACATCAGAAATCGTCAGTCCTTTATGCACTGTTAGGTGACCTTCATCTGTTGTTTTAGATACATTTATTGCTAGTTTGTAATGAATATATAATCATGTTTGTCATCTCAGGCTTATTGAAAATTAAAAATAAAACATGTTTAACATGTTTTGATAATGAGACGAGAGGTAATAAGATATTGATAACCTGATTGTGTAGTAGTTAGGCAGGCTTCTGTTGTCCTCCAGAAGGGCTGCTGCCTAAAAACAACCTGTATACCTACAGTTTGTAAATACTGCTTTCAGGTAAAATGGGTTAAATCATCACCTGGAACTGATTGACAAGTGTTTACTGCTAATAAATGCATCATTAACTTACCATTATAAATTATGAAAACCCCACCTTTCTGTGTTTGCATGCCTAGAAATTTGATTTCAAATTTGTACAATTAGACGTATGTGTAGCTTCCAAGAAATGTATGGCATCACAATATATTATATCAAACAAAAAATTAATTGTACAGTTATACTGGTGTTAATGAAATTTAAAACAGTTGTACAGGTGTAAGGGTATACTGATATAGGTGTACAGGTGTAAGGGTATACTGATATAGTTGTACAGGTGTAAGGGTATACTGATACAGTTGTACAGGTGTAAGGGTATACTGATACAGTTGTACAGGTGTAAGGGTATATTGATACAGTTGTACAGGTGTAAAGGTATATTGATACAGTTGTACAGGTGTTATGGTATATTGATACAGTTGTACAGGTATAAGGGTATATTGATACAGTTGTACAGGTGTACAGGTGTAAGGGTATATTGATACAGTTGTACAGGTGTAAAGGTATATTGATACAGTTGTACAGGTGTAAAGGTATATTGATACAGTTGTACAGGTGTACAGGTATAAGGGTATATTGATACAGTTGTACAGGTGTAAAGGTATATTGATACAGTTGTACAGGTGTTATGGTATATTGATACAGTTGTACAGGTATAAGGGTATACAGTTGTACAGGTGTACAGGTGTAAGGGTATATTGATACAGTTGTACAGGTGTAAAGGTATATTGATACAGTTGTACAGGTGTTAAGGTATATTGATACAGTTGTACAGGTGCAAAGGTATATTGATACAGTTATACAGGTGTAATGGCATATTGATACAGTTATACAGGTGTAATGGTATATTGATACAGTTGTACAGGTGTACAGGTGTAATGGCATATTGATACAGTTATACAGGTGTAAGGGTATATTGATACAGTTATACAGGTGTAATGGCATATTGATACAGTTATACAGGTGTAAAGGTATATTGATACAGTTATACAGGTGTAAGGGTATATTGATACAGTTGTACAGGTGTACGGGTTTATTGATACAGGTGAACAGGTGTAAGGATATATTGATACAGTTGTACAGGTGTACAGGTGTAAGGGTATATTGATACAGTTGTACAGGTGTAATGGTATATTGATACAGTTGTACAGGTGTAAGGATATATTGATACAGTTAAACAGGTGTACTGTTCCTCTTGTACACAATTGGGGAAATAGAGCTTTAAAGGATGTATTAATTAATGTGATCAGGGAATTGTGTGTTTTAATTTAAACACTTGTGTAGCACACAGCCATATGATTATACATTCAGATGTTGATCTGTCGCTGATAAGAATGTAAATATTGACAATTGCACCTGTTTTGAATATCATAGTTAAATTATATTACAGATGTATCTTTAAAGATCAGTCATTATTTCAAAGTAAGTATAATGGTAATTATGGTAATGGTAAAATTATTATTTTTTGAGGGAATTCTTAATCCAAAAATTCATATGTCCGTGAATTGATAAAATTAGCATAAAAAGATTTATCAAGCTATTCATGAAATCAATTATCCTTGAAAAAGGAGTTTTTTTTAATCCTTGAAAAAAGTGGTCATGAAGAAGGAATCTTATTAAAAACCTCGAAACTTTAGTCCACAAAAATAAAATATATGATTCTACTGTATGTTTGAAATAGAAGAGTTTCATAACATATGAACTCTTCAAGGTGGTCAGTTTATGGGACGGTTATGTTTGTGAGGTGTAAATTATTCATACTTAGAGTCTTTGCTGCAACTGGAGCTGGTAACTTACCGTAGTTAATCAATAGGTAGATCTAAACCACCCTTCATTTTGTGAACAATTTTAGAGGTATCAAGATCACACACACACACATATATATATATATATATATATATATATATATATAAAGAAATCACTTGTTTTTATTGGGGTCGTAAGATATAGAAATGCTACAAATAACATCCCCTTAAAGGGACACAAATGATCCTTCACAGGAATATTTTGGTACAGTACGGTACATATACATTGTATATGGAGTATATATCTACACCTGATAGTCAGTAGAAGACTAAAGTCTCTGGTACTGACAAGGCAGAAATTACACTACTGTACCATTGAGGATGGATATCTTCTTAATTGGTGTTTGGAGATAAGGCCCCAATGTTAACAAGGACGCCAGGATCAAACTAGCCAAGGGATAAGTTAAGTGTGTGGGTCTGCAGATTGGTGCTTCCTTATTTAGAAGGATTGTGTTGGCAGTACAGAAGATTTCTTATCTCTAAATTTTCTCAAGATTTCACTGTGAAACAGAATAATTATATCACCATTCCATTGAGAGTAAGAATTCTAAAAAGTGTTAATTTTTCTCTGTGTTTGGAAAAACTGGAATGTGTTTTGGTGTCCATGCACACCAGACACTACATGAACTAAAATGATACACTCGACCATCAAAGAGATAAAGGACATTTTCGTAGTATTGAAAATCCAGTCATATGTTGGTGTCTTAACTTGTTCTCTATTGATCAACAGGTGCGTCTGTTAATTACTACTGTAGCCTGAACTGATCACAATCTCCTTTTGTACCATAGGATTCTCATAGCTTAAATATGGACATGTGATGTATTTGGACCAACCTTGGTCTAATGCTTAAATCAATCATTATTTGGAACAACTTTTCCAATAAATGTTTATGCTGGACAATTTCTGAGAAAAAATCTACATGTATAGATGTAGCATACCGACTCTGAAATGGATTGTTGTTCAGACCCAGAAAAGAAACGCCAGAAAAAAATCAGGGCAATTGAGACAGAAAATTGGATTCACAGATTTCATTCGGAGTACTGTTGGGTGAAACGTTTGCCTCAACAAATTCACAGGTGAAAAAGTTAACCATGACATGATATTCTCTGCACAATCAATTCACAGGTAAAAAAGTTAACCATGACATGATATTCTCTGCACAATCAAGTCACAGGTGAAAAAGTTAACCATGACATGATATTCTCTGCACAATCAAGTCACAGGTGAAAAAGTTAACCATGACATGATATTCTCTGCACAATCAAGTCACAGGTGAAAAAGTTAACCATGACATGATATTCTCTGCACAATCAATTCATTATTTGGTATTTTGTTCACAACACATTACACGATATTATCTTCACAACAAATTCACAGGTGAAAAAGTTAACCATGACATGATATTCTCTGCACAATCAAGTCACAGGTGAAAAAGTTAACCATGACATGATATTCTCTGCACAATCAATTCACAGGTAAAAAAGTTAACCATGACATGATATTCTCTGCACAATCAAGTCACAGGTGAAAAAGTTAACCATGACATGATATTCTCTGCACAATCAAGTCACAGGTGAAAAAGTTAACCATGACATGATATTCTCTGCACAATCAAGTCACAGGTGAAAAAGTTAACCATGACATGATATTCTCTGCACAATCAATTCACAGGTGAAAAAGTTAACCATGACATGATATTCTCTGCACAATTCATTATTTGGTATTTTGTTCACAACACATTACACGATATTATCTTCACAACAAATTCACAGGTGAAAAAGTTAACCATGACATGATATTCTCTGCACAATCAAGTCACAGGTGAAAAAGTTAACCATGACATGATATTCTCTGCACAATCAATTCACAGGTGAAAAAGTTAACCATGACATGATATTCTCTGCACAATCAATTCACAGGTGAAAAAGTTAACCATGACATGATATTCTCTGCACAATCAAGTCACAGGTGAAAAAGTTAACCATGACATGATATTCTCTGCACAATCAAGTCACAGGTGAAAAAGTTAACCATGACATGATATTCTCTGCACAATCAAGTCACAGGTGAAAAAGTTAACCATGACATGATATTCTCTGCACAATCAATTCATTATTTGGTATTTTGTTCACAACACATTACACGATATTATCTTCACAACAAATTCACAGGTGAAAAAGTTAACCATGACATGATATTCTCTGCACAATCAAGTCACAGGTGAAAAAGTTAACCATGACATGATATTCTCTGCACAATCAATTCACAGGTGAAAAAGTTAACCATGACATGATATTCTCTGCACAATCAATTCACAGGTGAAAAAGTTAACCATGACATGATATTCTCTGCACAATCAATTCACAGGTGAAAAAGTTAACCATGACATGATATTCTCTGCACAATCAATTCACAGGTGAAAAAGTTAACCATGACATGATATTCTCTGCACAATCAATTCACAGGTGAAAAAGTTAACCATGACATGATATTCTCTGCACAATCAATTCACAGGTGAAAAAGTTAACCATGACATGATATTCTCTGCACAATCAATTCACAGGTGAAAAAGTTAACCATACATGATATTCTAAACACAATCAATTGGTGAAAAAGTTAACCATGACATGATATTCTTATAATAATTCACAGGAAAAAGTTAACACATACTGTGTGGTCCAGCATTATCAATTCACAGGTGAAAAAGTTAACCATGTGTGGTCATGATCATTCCTGCACAATCAATTCACAGGTGAAAAAGTTAACACATGACTGTGTGGTCCAGCATTATCAATTCACAGGTGAAAAAGTTAACCATGACATGATATTCTCTGCACAATCAATTCACAGGTGAAAAAGTTAACCATGACATGATATTCTCTGCACAATCAATTCACAGGTGAAAAAGTTAACCATGACATGATATTCTCTGCACAATCAATTCACAGGTGAAAAAGTTAACCATGACATGATATTCTCTGCACAATCAATTCACAGGTGAAAAAGTTAACCATGACATGATATTCTCTGCACAATCAATTCACAGGTGAAAAAGTTAACCATGACATGATATTCTCTGCACAATCAATTCACAGGTGAAAAAGTTAACCATGACATGATATTCTCTGCACAATCAATTCACAGGTGAAAAAGTTAACCATGACATGATATTCTCTGCACAATCAATTCACAGGTGAAAAAGTTAACCATGACATGATATTCTCTGCACAATCAATTCACAGGTGAAAAAGTTAACCATGACATGATATTCTCTGCACAATCAATTCACAGGTGAAAAAGTTAACCATGACATGATATTCTCTGCACAATCAATTCACAGGTGTGTTTGTGTCCCAAAAAGTTAACCATGACATGATATTCTCTGCACAATCAATTCACAGGTGAAAAAGTTAACATGACATGATATTCTCTGCACAATCAATTCACAGGTGAAAAAGTTAACCATGACATGATATTCTCTGACAATCAATTCACAGGTTTAACATTTACATTATTCTCTGTCACAATCAATACAGGTGAAAAAGTTAACCATGACATGATATTCTCTGCACAATCAATTCACAGGTGAAAAAGTAACCATGACATGTATTCCAGCACAATCAATTCACAGGTGAAAAAGTTAACCATTTGATATTCTCTGCACAATCAATTCACAGGTGAAAAAGTTAACATGACATGATATTCTCTGCACAATCAATTCACAGGTAAAAAAGTGTGGTCCATTTACATATATTCCAGCAAGTCAAGTCTCAGGTAAAAAGTTAACCATGACATGATATTCTCTGCACAATCACATTCTGTGTGGACCATGACATGATATTCTCTGCACAATCAATTCACAGGTGAAAAAGTTAACCATGACATGATATTCTCTGCACAATCAATTCACAGGTGAAAAAGTTAACCTTGACATGATATTCTCTGCACAATTCATTATTTGGTATTTTGTTCACAACACATTACACGTTATTATCTTCACAACAAATTCACAGGTGAAAAAACATATTCATGATCTTATATTTTGTCATTAATAAATGAAACATGCTTGAAAGGTTAAATACATGATAGTCATGAAATTGAACACGTGACGAAATTATTCTGTAATTGATATATAGAAAGTAAACATAACCAAACGTGGTAATTTCCCACATATTGAGGCAAGTGTCACTTGTGATGTGATATACCTTTTTTCATTGTCAAACAGAATTAGTTATAGGTTTGAAATCCATACATCTTCAATGTATTTCTTATAATACAAGGAATATGTAAACACATATCTGTGTGGTCCAGCATTATCACGTCCAGAGCAGGATGATGCTTATAATACAAGGAATATGTAAACACATATCTGTGTGGTCCAGCATTATCAAGTCCAGAGCAGGATGATGCTTATAATACAAGGAATATGTAAACACATATCTGTGTGGTCCAGCATTATCACCTCCAGAGCAGGATGATGCTTATAATACAAGGAATATGTAAACACATATCTGTGTGGTCCAGCATTATCACGTCCAGAGCAGGATGATGCTTATAATACAAGGAATATGTAAACACATATCTGTGTGGTCCAGCATTATCACGTCCAGAGCGGGATGATGACCATATATTTTCTTTACTTCAGGCCTCTGATCCCTGCAAAGCACCAATTGGATTTTGATCGACTTGCTCCATCACCTCCTGGTCGTGGTAGACGTATCATCAACCTCCGCCGTCGTGCCAATGAAAGTCTGGGATTTGCTGTCAGGGGAGGTAAGTCTGTATGATACATACATTTTTTTATAATTTTTTTTTTTTTTCTGATGGTTAAAGTTTTTGCAGCATAACCAAAAGCTTGTTACAAAAGTGATATTTTTTCGTGTGAGTCACTTCGTCAAATCTTGCTCCCTGCTCTCGGAATAAATTTTTTTTTCAAGGTATCTGTCTTTCGCATTTTTTTTTACCCTCAAAAAAAACAATCTTCACAGTATCTTAGGTACTAATGAAAACACAAGGAATGTCCTCCATTTTGTTCAGTCTTATCCCTTTCCCTTCCTTGATTTATGGACAGAGACTTGAGGCTTCAATGTTCTGATTTATTATATATCATCAAATGTTGTTACAGGATCCACAACATTTTCAGTATCCATCATATATGTTCCATGTTACAGGTTTTGAACATGGAATTGGTGTGTTTGTGTCCCATATTGACGCAGGCTCCCAGGCAGAGAGACAGGGACTCCGGGTAAGTGTCAACATTTTCATGTAGGTACAGGCCTGGCCAGTTGACAGGGTCTCCAGGTAAGTGTGGACATTTAAATAGTCCAGGCCAAGTGACAGGGTCTCCAGGTAAGTGTGGACATTTAAATAGTCCAGGCCAAGTGACAGGGTCTCCAGGTAAGTGTGGACATTTAAATAGTCCAGGCCAAGTGACAGGGTCTCCAGGTAAGTGTGGACATTTAAATAGTCCAGTCCAAGTGACAGGGTCTCCAGGTAAGTGTGGACATTTAAATAGTCCAGGCCAAGTGACAGGGTCTCCAGGTAAGTGTGGTCATTTAAATAGTCCAGGCCAAGTGACAGGGTCTCCAGGTAAGTGTGGACATTTAAATAGTCCAGGCCAAGTGACAGGGTCTCCAGGTAAGTGTGGACATTTAAATAGTCCAGGCCAAGTGACAGGGTCTCCAGGTAAGTGTGGACATTTAAATAGTCCAGGCCAAGTGACAGGGTCTCCAGGTAAGTGTGGACATTTAAATAGTCCAGGCCAAGTGACAGGGGCTCCAGGTAAGTGTGGACATTTAAATAGTCCAGGCCAAGTGACAGGGTCTCCAGGTAAGTGTGGACATTTAAATAGTCCAGGCCAAGTGACAGGGTCTCCAGGTAAGTGTGGACATTTAAATAGTCCAGGCCAAGTGACAGGGTCTCCAGGTAAGTGTGGACATTTAAATAGTCCAGGCCAAGTGACAGGGTCTCCAGGTAAGTGTGGACATTTGAATAGTCCAGGCCAAGTGACAGGGGCTTCAGGTAAGTGAGGACATTTAAATAGTCCAGGCCAAGTGACAGGGGCTCCAGGTAAGTGAGGACATTTGAATAGTCCAGGCCAAGTGACAGGGGCTCCAGGTAAGTGTGGACATTTAAATAGTCCAGGCCAAGTGACAGGGGCTTCAGGTAAGTATTGAACATTTCAATAGTCCAGGCCAAGTGACAGGGGCTCCAGGTAAGTGTGGACATTTTGATAGTCCAGGCCAAGTGACAGGGTCTCCAGGTAAGTGTGGACATTTAAATAGTCCAGTCCAAGTGACAGGGTCTCCAGGTAAGTGTGGACATTTAAATAGTCCAGTCCAAGTGACAGGGTCTCCAGGTAAGTGTGGACATTTAAATAGTCCAGGCCAAGTGACAGGGGCTCCAGGTAAGTGTGGACATTTAAATAGTCCAGGCCAAGTGACAGGGGCTCCGAGTAAGTGTGTACATAAAAGTACATATCATAAATACCTCGATTTAAATCTTATAGTCAATTTACAGGAAAAACATTACAGACTTCAATGAAAATGTCAGAAAGTGTCTATTTATGTAGTTTTTGTACTGGTACAGAGCCTGAGGGTGTTCAAGAATCAGGATACTTACAAAGGTAACATGATAATATATATTATTTAATATAATTATATAGTTATATATCATATTAATTAGACCTACATACTTTTCCTTGCTCTGAAATCAGTAATTAAAACGTGATGACATAGTTAGTTTGTGTTTTAGGTTGGAGATGAGATAGTGAGAGTGAATGGCTACACAATCTCCCAGGCAATCCATGAAGAGGTCCTCAACCTCATTAAGGGACATGATGCAGTGGAACTCAAGGTTACAAGTATGTTTGAATAATTAATCCATCAATAGATATCAATTGAACAGTAAGATTTTTTATGGTAAGATAACATGTGATATATAAAGCTTAGTTCCATTATATGTATGAAGAATCTTTAAAAATGGGTCGATTCGTGTCCTTGATGATTTATCAATGAAATAAGCTCACCTAAGTTTATACAGTGAAGAACAGAGTAGTCACAATAGTAAAACAGTTTTAACAGCGAAGGATTTAAGGATACATATGTACTGGGTTAGAGATTTATTTAGTATCTGTTATTTTACCAGAGTGTTTGGTACAAATTTTAATAAAACTGTGTTGAAGCAGGCGGCTGCCTGGAGCGTCCATCACTAAAAAGCCTTTCTAACTGTGACCCATTATACTATCATCTATTGAAGATGGAAGTCTGATTTTTTTTTATAAAACTTTCTATTCCAGATATAGGGATGCTGCCTGTCAAAGAGTGAGTACAGATTTTTAAAACTAACAAAACTGGTTTGATATAACAAAATTATACCAGTCTTCAAATGTGATATTTAAGGCAATATTACCTCTATATCAAATAACCAAAAACAAGATGTTAACAGGAATGCATAATACAGAGAGATAAGAAACAAGGCCCAGTGGTAACTTTATAAGGGATGTATAATACAGAGGGATAAGAAACAAGGCCCAGTGGTGACTTTATAAGGGATGTATAATACAGAGAGATAAGAAACAAGGCCCAGTGGTAACTTTATAAGGGATGTATAATACAGAGGGATAAGAAACAAGGCCCAGTGGTGACTTTATAAGGGATGTATAATACAGAGAGATAAGAAACAAGGCCCAGTGGTAACTTTATAAGGGATGTATAATACAGAGGGATAAGAAACAAGGCCCAGTTGTGGCTTTATAAGGGATGTATAATACAGAGAGAAAAGAAACAAGGCCCAGTGGTAACTTTATAAGGGATGTATAATACAGAGGGATAAGAAACAAGGCCCAGTGGTGACTTTATAAGGGATGTATAATACAGAGGGATAAGAAACAAGGCCCAGTGGTGACTTTATAAGGGATGTATAATACAGAGAGATAAGAAACAAGGCCCAGTGGTGACTTTATAAGGGATGTATAATACAGAGAGATAAGAAACAAGGCCCAGTGGTGACTTTATAAGGGATGTATAATACAGAGAGATAAGAAACAAGGCCCAGTGGTGACTTTATAAGTGATGTATAATACAGAGAGATAAGAAACAAGGCCCAGTGGTGACTTTATAAGGGATGTATAATACAGAGGGATAAGAAACAAGGCCCAGTGGTGACTTTATAAGGGATGTATAATACAGAGGGATAAGAAACAAGGCCCAGTGGTGGCTTTATAAGGGATGTATAATACAGAGAGATAAGAAACAAGGCCCAGTGGTGGCTTTATAAGGGATGTATAATACAGAGAGAAAAGAAACAAGGCCCAGTTGTGGCTTTATAAGGGATGTATAATACAGAGAGATAAGAAACAAGGCCCAGTTGTGGCTTTATAAGGGATGTATAATACAGAGGGATAAGAAACAAGGCCCAGTGGTGACTTTATAAGGGACATGTAATACAGAGGGATAAGAAACAAGGCCCAGTGGTGACTTTATAAGAGATGTATAATACAGAGTGATAAGAAACAAGGCCCAGTGGTGACTTTATAAGTGATGTATAATACAGAGGGATAAGAAACAAGGCCCAGTGGTGACTTTATAAGTGATGTATAATACAGAGGGATAAGAAACAAGGCCCAGTGGTGACTTTATAAGTGATGTATAATACAGAGAGATAAGAAACAAGGCCCAGTGGTGACTTTATAAGAGATGTATAATACAGAGTGATAAGAAACAAGGCCCAGTGGTGACTTTATAAGTGATGTATAATACAGAGAGATAAGAAACAAGGCCCAGTGGTGACTTTATAAGTGATGTATAATACAGAGAGATAAGAAACAAGGCCCAGTGGTGACTTTATAAGGGACATGTAATACAGAGGGATAAGAAACAAGGCCCAGTGGTGACTTTATAAGGGACATGTAATACAGAGGGATAAGAAACAAGGCCCAGTGGTGACTTTATAAGTGATGTATAATACAGAGAGATAGGAAACAAGGCCCAGTGTTGACTTTATAAGGAATGTACAATACAAAGGTCTCGTGATTTTAAAACAGGTAAGAAACAAGGCCCAGTGACTTTATTGTAATACAGAGGGATAAGAAACAAGGCCCAGAAAGATTATAACAAGATTGTCATAGATTTCAATACGTTATGAATTCTTTATGATCACGATTGAAAACGAAACCTGAAGCTGGTTACTCATTGAAGCATATCCATTTATAGGTTAGGAGGTTTATTGTAATTTCTGATATTCCTTGTCCAGTGTTCTCACATGTATATCTAATGTCAACACAGGTATGTATCTAATCAAATATTCCTCCACATGTCCCAGTCATAATGAATATTAAATTACCAGCTCATTAATTATTATAATTTAGTATTTCATATGCAGAGTACAAAATCATTGATGTTTGTAGGTCAACCAGTAATGCTTGGTTTCCTTTCTGTACTGGTAGGAATACCCTAAATCCGGAACTAAACCCTAGCATTGTTCACCAAAACTGAATAATTCAAGTCGATATTTGGGTATAGATATTTTATTAACATTTAATGGAGAAGTACAATGTGTTTTGTATTGGTCATTCTGTTGGCAGATCAGTATACTGTGTAATGTATAGCTAGCTCTCCAATTTCCAATTAATTATAAATAATGTAACAAAATGTCTCTCTATAAATCAGTATTTTTTTGTTTTTTTTTTGTTTAGTTTTTATGCTTGTGACTACAGAGATGTATGTGGAATTTTTGTCATCGTTTAAAACAAAATAAGAATACTTTGGAAAAATGTCTCCGCAGAGACACCTGTGAACAGACACATTATTCCAGCATACCCATTAACGTAATTTGGTCAAACTATAGTCTGAAGTGCTGTTTCTTTCTGCTCAGATGTTACTTGTATGAGTGTTATGCTACTTGTGTAACAAATATTCTAGCTAATAAAGTTTTCATCTGACATGCCAGGATAGGTAGGGTGAACTCTACCGTGGCATCAGCTGACATAATTGATGAGACAAATATCTGGTAATTAACTTGTTATACTCATGGGTCTTTAATAATTTTAAGCGGAACTCTGTTTATCAACAGAGAGTTTGTTACAGCTGTCAAAATCTAGAATATAAAGATAAATATATATTAATTATTGATGTATGTAATTACCCTCATGGTGCTGGTCTTAATTAGAGGATATTCCCTAACATACCAATATTATACTAGTACTGGTCCTGTCTCACTTTAACACAATACTCAATCAAGTGCAAATCAGTCCTAATATTGACTGATACTTTCTTGATACAAGTAACCACTTGTAGGAGAGAAACCTTCAAGTGCTTTGTGATCTCTATCAAAGTTTACCTAGTACTATGTGATCTCTGTGTTAAAGTATACCTAGTACTGTGTGATCTCTGTATCAAAGTATACCTAGTACTGTGTGATCTCTGTATTAAAGTACACCTAGTACTGTGTGATCTCTTTGTTAAAGTATACCTAGTACTGTGTGATCTCTGTATCAAAGTATACCTAGTACTGTGTGATCTCTGTATTAAAGTACACCTAGTACTGTGTGATCTCTGTATTAAAGTACACCAAGTACTGTGTGATCTCTGTATTAAAGTATACCTAGTACTGTGTGATCTCAGTATTAAAGTACACCTAGGACTGTGTGGTCTCTGTATTAAAGTATACCTAGTACTGTATGATCTCTGTGTTAAAGTACACCTAGGACTGTGTGGTCTCTGTATTAAAGTATACCTAGTACTGTATGATCTCTGTATTAAAGTATACCTAGTACTGTGTGATCTCTGTATCAAAGTATACCTAGTACTGTGTGATCTCTGTATTAAAGTACACCTAGTACTGTGTGATCTCTGTATTAAAGTATACCTAGTACTGTATGATCTCTGTGTTAAAGTACACCTAGTACTGCGTGATCTATGTGTTAAAGTATACCTAGTACTGTGTGATCTCTGTATTAAAGTATACCTAGTACTGCGTGATCTATGTGTTAAAGTACACCTAGTACTGTATGATCTCTGTACCTAGAACTGTGTGATTTTATGTATTAAAGTATACCTAGGACTGTGTGAACTCTGTATTGAAATATACCCAGTACTGTGTGATCTCTGTATTAAAGTATACCTAGTACTGTGTGATCTCTATACCTAGTACCGTGTGATCTCTATACCTAGTAGTGTGTGATCTCTATACCTAGTACTGTGTGATCTCTATACCTAGTAGTGTGTGATCTCTATACCTAGTACTGTGTGATCTCTATACCTAGTACTGTGTGATCTCTATACCTAGTAGTGTGTGATCTCTATACCTAGTACTGTGTGATCTCTATACCTAGTAGTGTGTGATCTCTATACCTAGTACTGTGTGATCTCTATACCTAGTACTGTGTGATCTCTATACCTAGTACTGTGTGATCTCTATACCTAGTACTGTGTGATCTCTATACCTAGTACTGTGTGATCTCTATACCTAGTACTGTGTGATCTCTATACCTAGCACTGTGTGATCTCTATACCTAGCACTGTGTGATCTCTATACCCAGAACTGTGTGATCTCTATACCTAGTACTGTGTGATCTCCATGTTACAATTGTGATTATTTCTCTGTGAAATCCAAATTAATCAGCAGTTGATACAGGTGATGTTGTGGGGGTATGGCTTCAGTACTGAGTAATATAGAATAACGGTTTTTCATTTTCATGTGATTTAAGTCCAGCAAACTTTTTTAAAGCTGGGTATTTAATTCAGGGAATAATAAAAACAGAGAGAGTGTAAGTCTATCAGAAGTTGATCAAACATACTCTGGTCATATCATTATCTGTGTCTTCTGTTGCTAGGAAACAAGGAGACACACTGACATGGAAGTATGTAGAGAAACGTGACCGGAAGAAAAGTGTAGTAAGTTTAAGGCAGAATACCTAAAGAGTCAGAAGGACATTCAAGCAATCATATTTACTGTTCAGAAGGTTTTATGTCCCTGCCTGGGTAAAGATAATCATATTTACTGTTCAGAAGGTTTTATGTCCCTGCCTGGTTAAAGATAATCATATTTACTGTTCAGAAGGTTTTATGTCCCTGCCTGGGTAAAGATAATCATATTTACTGTTCAGAAGGTTTTATGTCCCTGCCTGGGTAAAGATAATCATATTTACTGTTCAGAAGGTTTTATGTCCCTGCCTGGTTAAAGATAATCATATTTACTGTTCAGAAGGTTTTATGTCCCTGCCTGGGTAAAGATAATCATATTTACTGTTCAGAAGGTTTTATGTCCCTGCCTGGGTAAAGATAATCATATTTACTGTTCAGAAGGTTTTATGTCCCTGCCTGGGTAAAGATAATCATATTTACTGTTCAGAAGGTTTTATGTCCCTGCCTGGGTAAAGATAATCATATTTACTGTTCAGAAGGTTTTATGTCCCTGGCTGGTTAAATATAATGATATTTACTGTTTAGAAGTTTTTATGTCCCTGCCTGGGTAAAGATAATGATATTTACTGTTTAGAAGTTTTTATGTCCGTAGCTGGGTAAAAAGATAGTGTTACCCATGTTTGTCTGCCCTGTCCCTGTTCAGTTTTGTCCCACCCGATGTCAATCTCAGAACCTCTCAACAGATCAGTTCATTTTTACTCCATATTATTATAACATCATGTTCTACTTCTAGCATTTTAATAATGTCATTAATTAAGGTCATAGGGTCAAAGATGAAACTTGACAACTTCTTCAAATGATACTTATGTGTAGATATTTTCTAGTTTTTGTTTTAGATGCTATAATCATGAGTAGGAAAAATAGTATGTATTATGTGAAACAGAATTTATACAAATATTGATCTCTAGTATTTCCAAAATATTCTATTTTCCATTTACAGATGAAGACACAGCATCGCCAAGAACCTGAGGATAAAGGGGAAATTGTCAAACTGTTTGCCAATCTCCGTACGTCTCCTTCTCTTGGATGTAGGTAAGTGTACTGTTTGTCAATCTCCGTACGTCTCCTTCTCTTGGATGTAGGTAAGTGTACTGTTTGCCAATCTCTGTATGTCGCCTTCTCTTAGATGTAGGTAAATGCTCTGTATGTCTCCTTCTCTTGGATGTAGGTAAATGTACTGTTTGCCAATCTCTGTACGTCTCCTTCTCTTGGATGTAGGTAAATGCACTGTTTGCCAATCTCTGTATGTCTCCTTCTCTTGGATGTAGGTAAATGCACTGTTTGCCAATCTCTGTATGTCTCCTTCTCTTAGATGTAGGTAAATGCACTGTTTGCCAATCTCTGTATGTCTCCTTCTCTTAGATGTAGGTAAATGCACTGTTTGCCAATCTCCGTACGTCTCCTTCTCTTGGATGTAGGTAAGTGTACTGTTTGCCAATCTCTGTATGTCTCCTTCTCTTGGATGTAGATAAATGCACTGTTTGCCAATCTCGGTACGTCTCCTTCTCTTGGATGTAGGTAAGTGTACTGTTTGCCAATCTCTGTACGTGTCCTTCTCTTGGATGAAGGTAAATGTACTGTTTGCCAATCTCCGTACGTCTCCTTCTCTTGGATGTAGGTAAGTGTACTGTTTGCCAATCTCTGTACGTGTCCTTCTCTTGGATGTAGGTAAATGCACTGTTTGCCAATCTCCGTACGTCTCCTTCTCTTAGATGTAGGTAAATGCACTGTTTGCCAATCTCTGTATGTCTCCTTCTCTTAGATGTAGGTAAATGCACTGTTTGCCAATCTCGGTACGTCCCCTTCTCTTGGATGTAGGTAAGTGTACTGTTTGCCAATCTCTGTATGTCTCCTTCTCTTGGATGTAGGTAAATGCACTGTTTTCCAATCTCTGTACGTGTCCTTCTCTTAGATGTAGGTAAATGTACTGTTTGCCAATCTCCGTACGTCTCCTTCTCTTGGATGTAGGTAAGTGTACTGTTTGCCAATCTCTGTACGTGTCCTTCTCTTGGATGTAGGTAAGTGTACTGTTTGCCAATCTCCGTACGTCTCCTTCTCTTGGATGTAGGTAAATGCACTGTTTGCCAATCTCTGTATGTCTCCTTTTCTTAGATGTAGGTAAATGCACTGTTTTCCAATCTCTGTACGTGTCCTTCTCTTGGATGTAGGTAAGTGCACCATTGTAGTCCAGTTGGATCATACAACGCTGCAATAAATAATACAACTTGAACCTCAGGAAGTACACAATGGTGAAAGCAGAATCATTGTTTGTTTGCCACGCCATCACTCAAAAGAAAAAATAGTAATAAAAAACCCATTAAATTACAGAGTTGATGTTGTTTTCATGTATGACATTAACGTTGGCAGTCAGATGGTCTAATACTTGATATTCACAAGTTTTTTTTGTCAATTTCAGGATTATAAGTGGCCCCCAAGGTCGAGGAATATATATCCAGCGGGTGGGCCCACAGAGTTTGGGTGAGCAGATCGGCCTAGAAGTTGGTGATCAGATCCTCGATGTCAATGGCATAAGCTTCCTGAATGTATCACATAACGAGGTGAAATATTTACAAGCATTTTTCTTGTCAACAAATCAAAACAGCTTTGAAAGTAGTGCTTATGAATAAAATCAACAACTTGATATTTTTCTGCCATCACAGAAATTTAGTTATCTGATTCAGCTTGATACTAGGCTGTTGATGTGGTAACCTTTGTCAGCAGTTAAACTGAACATTTTCCTTTATTCCAGGCCATTGTAGCACTTAAAAGCAGCAAGGAACTCAATCTTGTAATCAGAAAAAAGACAGTGAGTAGACCTATCAAAAACTTAATATAAAGCAAACATGTTTGTACTTTTTATTCCACAGTCCGAAAGGGTGTGGGGTATTGCGATCACGCACGGCATTCGTCCATTTGTCCGTCCGTCTGTCTGTCTGCCCGTCCATCCACAATTGCATACCGCTTATTATCTCAAAAACTACATCACCGGTCATCACCATTTTCACTGGGGATGTTGGGCCTATGGATCTACACAACCCATTCTTGAGATAACTTTCCACTCACCCCAACCACACATTTCCAACTTTATAATAAGGCTGTGGGGTATTGCCCACGTTTGCAGAGCTATTTTTGGGGTTGTGAAAATGCCACAAAAAGTGAACACTCTTCCCTGTTATATGACACAGATCTTTCAAAATTATTATCAAATTTTATTCTGAATTTTCAGTTCTCCTTAATACAAAGAAATGATCTGTCCTAAGTTCTTTCACTGGCAAGATGTGTTGTCTTGGTAACTCTCCATCAAGATCTACCTACTAGTATACAGTAATGATAAAAACATACAAGATGTGAATTTATTTTGTGGTGAAGAAAATCACACCAATTTAAAATTTTTATAAAAACCGTGCTAAGAGATATTTGAATGTCTTTCTCACTGATTGAAGTACTATATTATTTAGGGAATGCAAATAGTGCAATCTGCCGCAATCAACACTCGTACCCAGACACCAACAGAACCTCCAAAGCAGGAGAGTGGCCCAGTGAGTGGTCAGCAGTACGAAGAACCTGCATATGCTGTTGTTATGAAGGAAAAGAAAGATGTGCCACCTCCACCTCCACCCCCGGCCGCAGTCCCTTCCCTTGTCCCACCACCTCCACCGCCTATAGAACAGACCACACATAGGTATGACAGTTACAACCATCATGGTAACAACGACGATGAAGAGGATGAAAATATCATGGAAATATTTTGAAAAGATAGAATTTTCTTTCTTGGTGCTCGAGTACTAACCCACCACATTAATGATATTTTAACTAACTAGTCATATTCAGTTTTTTGTTATTTATAATTTATAAATTATGATAATTTTCATTTGCAATAATTCTTTTCATAATTTATTTCTTCTTTCAATCTTAAGTGTCAATTTCATGTTGTTTGATTAAAATTCTTACCAAGATTATTTCTTTGGAATAATTTCAAAACTCAACTTACAAAAGGTTTGACACATTTTCGTTAGAATCTTGTTTTAATTTACATGTGATGAAATAGCTGTGTGAATTAGGTAAATAAAGACGGATCTCTATGAATACAACATTAACATGGGTGACCCTATCTATTCAAGGGAGATAATACACATCTACTTTATCATAGGGAGATCAATTATGTTTAAAACTGCCTGTAGCTTTCAGAATTAGACGGAGATAGTTCACAACTCTGTAATTTCACAACCAGTAATGACACAATAAGTAAACATTTCAAATGATCAAATTGATTATATGTTAATGCATGAGATGTTTGCTGCTAATTAGTGGCAGCTGTTATTGTAGCAGTGTTAGATCAGCATGATCATCACTACAATGGTAATTATAATCAGACATTCAGTTCTATAGAGAACACCTGATGCTGTAGTTAAGCATGACTGATGGATAATGCTTTTGCATGTTCTTAATGTTTATCAATTGCATATCTTACAACTTTTGTTGTCTATACCTGAGGATGACCTTTGGTGTCTATACCTGAGGATGACCTTTGGTGTCTATACCTGAGGATGACCTTTGGTGTCTATACCTGAGGATGACCTTTTGTGTCTATACCTGAGGATGACCTTTTGTGTCTATACCTGAGGATGACCTTTTGTGTCTATACCTGAGGATGACCTTTGGTGTCTATACCTGAGGATGACCTTTGGTGTCTATACCTGAGGATTACCTTTGGTGTCTATACCTTAGGATGACCTATGGTGTCCATACCTGAGGATGACCTTTGGTGTCCATACCTGAGGATGACCTTTGGTGTCTATACCTGAGGATTACCTTTGGTGTCTATACCTGAGGATTACCTACGGTGTCTACACCTGAGGATGACCTTTGGTGTCTATACCTGAGGATGACCTTTGGTGTCTATACCTGAGGATTACCTTTGGTGTCTATACCTGAGGATGACCTTTGGTGTCTATACCTGAGGATGACCTTTTACCTAAATTATTTTATTAATTGCTGAACCTGAAAATCCTTGCCCAAAGCCTCACGACTTGAGATTCTGCCATAGTAACATTAATCATGTTTTTTGTATATCCCATTATTTTTTGTGCGAGGTATTTTTTTTCAAAAATTCCAAAAAAAAAAATTTTTTTAAATTCAAAATTATTTGAAAATGTTATGAAATGTTATTAAATTTATTTCTGGCCATTCTTTGTTTGATAAAACATGTCTAGTGAGATCATGTACATGTTTTATCTAAACTGTAGTTCTAAGTAACTAGGCATGCTGTCAACAATGATTATGTTTTTCTACTTACTGGTGTTGTCTAAATCTACCTGTCCCTTTTCTTTCTTCCTGATTTCCATGAAACCCCAGCTTATTACAGGAGTGTATCTCAGGTTTGGAGAAAAACATTTCCTGTGTGTGTCTTATTAACTTTTAACAAAATTTTTTTTTTTTATTTATCTTAATTGCTAAATTCTGACATTTTATCTATACAATTTCAATTTTTATGAATTTCATCATAAAAATGTCAAAATTGATGTGAAGTTTACAGGATATGAAGATAATTGATTTAGTTAGTGGTTTTGTGTTTACATAATGTTTTCCACACATACTTTCTCCCATTTTGTTACGTCACAGTGTCATATGTTATGAACTTCTCAACAGATTTGGTTCATATTTACCCCATAGTGTTCAACACCTAATCAGATTCTGGTTTTCATAGTAGCTGGGGCAGTCATTGATTACATATCAAGTGAAACTATCTGGCTGTAGAGTTTGGATAAAATGGCAGTGATTCATAATTACATAAAAGAAAATAGTAAAAAGATACATACACCACTTTATAGACATATACATGTATTTAAAGTACAGAATGTCCTCACCAATTTTATTTTAGTACTGTTCAAGAAAATAAAATAGAGGTACAGTTTTGATAACACTGCACTGTACTGTTCTAGTAGTAATTTTGAAAATGTTATGGACTATCACCTTTCCTTGGTGTCTGATATGCATTTGTTTCACACTTAATTGAATGTGTCACTTGATTATGCATGTATATGTATATGCTTATCTATCTTTAAGGAACCATTTGTAAATGTAATCCAATATACAATATATGTATGTAATCACTCCCTTTCACTTCTCATTCAATTGTGGTACAGTTACCTGGCTGCTTGCTGTGAAATCAGTATCATATGTTCCTTTTTATTTTTTCCTGTCAGTGAAATTTAACCTTTTCATCTAGATTTTCACAGCTGAATGGTTCATGAATGTATTAAAAAGACATATAAGTACTTGTGTACTTGTGACATTTTAATTGGCATTCTTGAAATGTTTTCAAATTTCAATACCATTACTAATTTGGTAGACTGGTTCAAAACTGAAAAGTTTTATAGAACATTTGTAAAAAAGTGTCTACTTGATTGTTAAAAGTGATGAAGTTCAGTGGACACCATGCTTAATGTTACAGGTGATGTTCAGGATTGTCTTTGCCAAAGAGCTATACAAACAAATCATTTGAAAAAACACCAACACAGTCACATATATGGTGGTCTTTCGTTTTCTGGAAGTTTCTCAAAATATTTGAAATTTCTTTTGTTTAAACAACCAGGTAGCTTCGTTTTTAAGTGTATTTTTTTCTCTTTCCACTGATTTATTGCTTGGTTCTTACTTTGCTTGTTTGTGATTGGCTGTTGCATGTTCTTGTTTGTGATTGGCTGTTGCATGTTCTTGTTTGTGATTTGCTGTTGCATGCTTTAGATGTTTACATTTGAATAAATATATCTACCCTCCTCCTGTGACTTTGTCTCTCTGTATAAAAGAGCCTGTGTTGACGATAACAACTACTAAATATATATTATACAATGGTTTGAAAATCACATTTATTCTTTATTTTCCTATTTTCTGAACTTGTAGAGTGTGCTTGCTTTTGTTTATTTCATATAAGAATTTCAGTGACCGTTATAAATCCAACATCAGACTGATCACCTCACCTAAAATACCATGTGGAAACAAACTTCAATTCTCAAAATCCAAGATGGCCTCCTCAGGTCATTTGCTTTACTGATGATACTTAAAATGAAAAGGGCACTGCAAGGGAAAGATCCATTCAGTTGTTCACAGGAAAAAGCAATAATAAACTTTCATAGTAAAATTCATAATGGCCACCTGTCATCCGTTTTGTTTTCAGATTACTCTCAAAATTTGAAAGATTACTTTAAGGGAACTAGGGGACATATCGGTACATATGAAATTTGAAAAAAAAAGATCTACCTACAGGTTCACACTTGTCCAGAAATAGCAATTATAAAAGTAGAAGTATAAAAATCAAATATACACTAAACCAATGCTAATGGCCTGGACATATTTATCATTAAAGCTTTAGTACTTCGTCAATCATATTCTTTCTTTTCTTATACAGAGTTATCTGCTCTTGTGAACAGGCGTGCATTGATATGTCATTTGTTTGCAAAAATAAATAACATTATGACTGAGAAAACATTTTTCTACACAAATAACAATCAATACCTGCTGACAAGAGCAGATAACTCTGTATAAAAAAGACAATAAACTAAGAGTTGCCAATACATGAATTCAGTCTTGAGTAAATATCACTCACTTGTAATCCTTAGACTACCAAACAATTTATGTATGGGTAGGTTAAGTACAGGGAACAGTTCTTGATTGAGAAATAATTTATGTATATATTGAATTGCATGTTTGAATATGATCTTCTTACATATTATTGTATGTCATGAAGAAAACAACAAGGTTGGGGAAATCGTGATCAAAAACATATGTTAGTAAATTCAAATAGGTTTGGCCTATAGATATACTTTACACTGATGTCAGTCTACACAGGTGGCTTTGTATATGTATTTATCTACATAGACCAAAGACAAAGAAAAAAGCACCTTCACCTCCGTCAGCTCCTCAGCCAAGCTTAGACTTCAGGGAAGGTAAGTTTGAAACAATACCAGCATCTCTTTTCAGATCAAAAACACCATTGACTTTGTATCAATACCTTAACCACTACACCAGCTATTTCTTGTCTGATATCTTAGTACACCTGTCTTATTCTACCTGTCTACCTATACTTTTTTAAATACCAAAACCTACCTGTCAAAATTTCTCCCTCAGAATATACCTGTTTGACATCACTTGTCTTAAGTATACATATTGAAATACACATAGCTAACTAAATCTATCTATCCATACCTTTCTAACTACACTGAAGTCGATATGGGAAATATTTTATTGGCAGATGTTTTTTATGACATTATGAAGCATTGTTGACTGAAATCATACAGTATAAAGTATAAAGCATTATTATTTGAAATCAAATTTGAATACATTTACAAATATTTCAGACTAAAGATCAAGGTCTAATTTGAAATACTGAAATGATACATTTTTTGTTATAACATAATAAAGCAAAATTATTTGAAATTAAATGAGAAGTCATTGGACTACATGTTGTGGTCACCAGGTCAAAGGTGAAGGTTAAATGCCATTGGCAAATTATTGTGTCTCTGAAACAACAAAAATACAATATTGATGTAACAATCAGGATTTGAGTCTCTGTCAGTACTCAGGTTAGTACGTGTCTTACTGTTCTTGTCTGACTACACCTGTGTATCAGTAGAGTCTGATGTGTGTCAGTACTATAGTAGTACCTGTCTTATTGTTCCTGTCTGACCACACCTGTGTATCAGTAGAGTCTGATGTGTGTCAGCATTCTAGTCACACCTGTCTTACTGTTCCTGTCTGACTACACCTGTGTATCAGTAGAGTCTGATGTGTGTCAGTACTCTAGTCACACCTGTCTTACTGTTCCTGTCTGACCACACCTGTGTATCAGTAGAGTCTGATGTGTGTCAGTACTATAGTAGTACCTGTCTTACTGTTCCTGTCTGACCACACCTGTGTATCAGCAGAGTCTGATGTGTTTCAGCACTCTAGTCACACCTGTCTTACTGTTCCTGTCTGACCACACCTGTGTATCAGTAGAGTCTGATGTGTGTCAGTACTATAGTAGTACCTGTCTTATTGTTCCTGTCTGACCACACCTGTGTATCAGTAGAGTCTGATGTGTGTCAGCATTCTAGTCACACCTGTCTTACTGTTCCTGTCTGACCACACCTGTGTATCAGTAGAGTCTGGTGTGTGTCAGTACTTTAGTAGTACCTGTCTTATTGTTCCTGTCTGACTACACCTGTGTATCAGTAGAGTCTGATGTGTGTCAGTACTCTAGTCACACTTGTCTTACTGTTTCTGTCTGACCACACTTGTGTATCAGTAGAGTCTGGTGTGTGTCTGTACTCTAGTCACACCTGTCTTACTGTTCCTGTCTGACCACACCTGTGTATCAGTAGAGTCTGATGTGTGTCAGTATTCTAGTCACACCTGTCTTACTGTTCCTGTCTGACAACACCTGTGTATCAGTAGAGTCTGGTGTGTGTCAGTACTTTAGTAGTACCTGTCTTACTGTTCCTGTCTGACCACACCTGTGTATCAGTAGGCCCCTAGTTAGTTAATACTGTATTTTATTTCTATAAAATGATTACTCAACAGAGTTAAACAGATTGAATCTCAAGCGACAAGGTGAGCAAAAAGAAATGAAGGATGAAGATGATGACACTCTTGAAGGTGATGATAGTTTGGTAGAAGATCATTTTATAGGGAAGATTAAGGATCAGAGATCAGAAGAGGAACAGACACCTTCTACACCTTTATCTACAGGTATTTAGGAAATGTTGGACTGATACTAGGACATTAGGAGTGATACTAAGAAATTAGTTAGGATTGATGCTTAAAAATTAGGATTGATGTGTATAAATTAGGATTGATGCTTAGAAATGAGGATTGATGCTTAGAAATTAGGATTGATGCTTAGAAATGAGGATTGATGCTTAGAAATTAGGATTGATGCTTAGAAATTTGGATTGATGCACGGAAATTAGGATTGATGCACGGAAATTAGGATCGATGCTTAGAAATTAGTATTGATGCTTAGAAATTAGGATTGATGCGTAGAAATAAGATTTTCATGCAGATGATTCTTGTAGGAAACCAGGATATGGAAGCAGCAGCAAGGCTAGAGAAAGTCTTACAGCAGAAACAAGTCCACCAAAGGCAGAATGAAGAGAGACATCGAGAAGAGGTAAGTCAAGGGTCACAAGTCATTTAGGGGTCACCCAGTACCAAAAATATATACAACCGAAGTAGAAAGTTTACTGTAGAAAGCAATGTTGAAATACTGATATATATATATAAATCAAACTTAAAAATCAATATAAATCTTTATATATCAAAAACTATGTAGAATATTGATACAATACTGTATTGTAATGGTACTTAGTGTTTAAAATGGCTGTAATTGATTTGACTGAATCAAAACATTGGATTCAGTAAATCATTTATTGATTAAAACAGAAGTTAAATATAATAATTCTGCTTATCATTTCATCATGTACACTGCCTGGTGATTTGGGCTGAATTTGTTTGCATGATAAACTACTGCATGTCTGTCTAGGGGTATTATTTGGTGAATTTGTTGAAGCCGGAATATAATGTAGAATTGTGTGTGATATTGATTGTTAGTGTTATGTGTGGTAATGAAACGGCAATGCCATCAAAACATTACTTATGAAATTATATCTATCTAATATGCACAAGTAAGTTAAATCTTCATGGCAAAACACCACAAGGTCAAATAGGTTTACAGGTTATCAACACCACAAGGTCATACAAGGTCACAACAGTCACCAGCTCCACAAAGTTAATCAGGTTAACAATAATAATGAACATCACAAGGTCATACATCTTGACCTGGTCGTAACCGGTCACAATAGTCGTCAACGACATAACAATGTCATAAAAGGTGACTGCTTGTAACACAAGGTAAAACAGGGTCAAAACATTCGTCAACACCACGACGTCATACAGGTTCACAACAGTTATCAATTCTTCAAGGTCATAAAAGGTCACCATGGTCATCAACATCACAAGGTCATACAGGGTTACTGCTCACATATAGTTGAATAATTTTTTTATATAAAAGGTTTGGAGGTTAAACCTGGCAAACTTGAAGGAGTTATGTTTTCTTATCATATGTCAGAGCCTTCTCCGCTCAATGAACTTAAACATTAAATTTCCAGAGTTCAATTTTTCATGAAAAATGTAATCTTGTAGCCCTTATTCTTTTTTTATCTCACCCTCTTGCCTCCTCCCCCTCCCCCTCCCCTATAAACAAATTAATGATGTAAGAATTTGTTTTGATATATGATTCTGATCTGTATTAAAAAGGAATTATTGTGAAATCTGGAAAAGGAGGGCAAACACAACAACATTGACTGTGAATTAGTCATGGTCACTGTATTGGTCAAACTTTTAATAAACTTAATCCAGATGTTATCAACCCTATTAGTAAATATATAACTTGACAAGGTGTTCGAGAGAAATCGGATGAAGAGAAATGCACTGGAACACAAATTATTAGAAGAAATACGTCAGCATAAGAGGCACACAAAAAAAGTCCAGCTCGAACTGAGGTTGCAACGACAGCAACAGGACAAGGCCGAGATGAAACGTGAAGTTGAGGTCTGCGCGGTGGTATATCACCTCACATACATTCATTTTTGTTTCCTTACCAAGCACAACCTATGTACTAATCTAATTCCATGGCCACATTATAAGACTGTTATTTGAAAGCACATTAAAAGTTTTCTTAAGATATCAACTATTTCATGAATTTTATTTCTTTGAATTTATTTTCTTTATTTTATTTTTTCAGATATAATATATCTTAGTCTTCTTGTTAGACAGTGTAGTATGATTATTTTCTGTTTTTTGTTGCTTTCATGGTTTTCGGCCCTGACAAACAAGGTTAATGAATTAACTGGTACCTATAATTACCATGATAGTACTGTGAACTCAATAATTTTCTTGGGAGATTTATTTTCATTGATTTTGTGGCTGCTGTTAACCCACAAATTCCTATGGACTGTTAAGTAAGTATAAGTAGATTTACTGAACTATATTTATCCATGTTGTCAAGTGTCCCTGAAAAAGTATTTTTTGAAAATCTTAAAAAATTGAGTCCCATGAAACTGAATGATTTTACAGTACAGGGAATGATATTTAACAGGACAGGTCAGAAATTTAAAAATGTATCATTGTTAGTAATAAATGTAAAAATGTAACATTGTTAGTAATAAAGGATACAGGTAAAAATGTAACATTGTTAGTAATAAAGGATGAAGGTAAAAATGTATCAATGTTAGTAATAAAGGATACATGTACTCTTGTCTATACCTACAATAATTATGCCAAATTTTGTTTGAATGTAACAAAAATATGCAATTTTTTTTTTAATTTTTCATTTTTGGGATGTACTTTTTTCCTAATCCCAATTTAATCATTAATTAGTACATGTATGTAGTAATTAATGTCGTCACTGCCTTGATGTATGTAGTTAGTTAGATTGTAGTAGATTTCTAAAAATTGTTCTTATTTTTCAAGAAATTTTTTTTATCATCTTTGTCATTGTCACAAGTTATACTAGCAAACTAAGCAATAGAAATTGTCACTAGTCATTTTATTATTTTATAAACATTTTCTGGAAAACATTTCAAATTCTAAAGATATTTTGTATTCTATAAACATCTTTATTGACTATGAGATACATCTGTTTCAATATTATCTTCTCTCAATACCAATACATTGTTATTTATTTGAAGTTGTTAAGTTCAATGATTATCCTGCATGTAGAATGTTTTGATGTACATGTATAGTTTCTGTATTTTATCAATAAACCACACTTGATTTAGAATATTAAGTTTGTGACATCACACCAGTGTGGATTCACAATGATTAAGTTTGTGACATCACACCAGTGTGGATTCATTACAATTTTATTATGCCTGCGCTTTCACCATTTTCATGCTCACATTTGTCACCAAGAAGACACTTAAAAAATGGAGACCATTGTATGAGGCGGATTTGACCTCAGAGGAGAAAGTATGCTTTGTTAAAGGATTATCATTCTAATTCTGTTGTTGAAACCACCCCATTACACAAAAACGTTCTGTTAAGTTAGCAATGCATAATTGTTTTTAGGAATATTTTTCCAAAAGCAGTCACCAATTTGAAACAAAGATCCTTTATCAATATGAAATTGTGTAATGTATGAAGATCTTAAGACAAATGTTAACAACGTAAGATGAGATTTAATCAGCTGTTGTGACTGACTTACCTTTTGTATATACATGTGTGACCGACTTACCTGTTGTATATACAGGTGTGACTGACTTACCTGTTGTATATACAGGTGTGACTGACTTACCTGTTGTATATACAGGTGTGACTGACTTACCTGCTGTATATACAAGTGTGACTGACTTGCCTTTTGTATATACAGGTGTGACTGACTTACCTGTTGTATAGTGTGACTGACTTACCTGTTGTAAATACAGGTGTGACTGACCTACCTGTTGTATATACAGGTGTGACTGACCTACCTGTTGTATTTACATGTGTGAGTGACTTACCTGTTGTATAAACAGGAGTGGGTGACTTACCTGTGGTATATACAGATGTGTCTGACTCACCTGTTGTATGGTGTGACTGACTTACCTGTTGTATGGTGTGACTGACTTACATGTTGTATATACATGTATGACTGATCTACCTGCTGTATATACAAGAGTGACTGACTTACCTGTTGTATATACAGGTGTGACTGACTTACCTGTTGTATATACAGGTGTGACTGACTTACCTGTTGTATATACAGGTGTGACTGACTTACCTGTTGTATATACAGGTGTGACTGACTTACCTGTTGTATGGTGTGACTGACTTACCTGTTGTATGGTGTGACTGACTTACCTTTTGTATATACAGGTGTGACTGACTTACCTGTTGTATATACAGGTGTGACTGACTTACCTGTTGTATATACAGGTGTGACTGACTTACCTGTTGTATGGTGTGACTGACTTGTTTAAATTTCATATGTGTTATGTTTTGTTATTACAGTCAGATATATTACGAGGAATAGGTAGACCCCTAAAGAAGGCAGACCTTCATCTAGTAGGCCCTACTCCAGGTTTCAGTCAACCCAGTAAGGTATGTACCTGTGTAGAAAATGATATTTCAGGTCACCAGCATCAGGTTACAAGTTCACACACCAGCTGGGACTGTGCGTTTATCATTACCTCTTCCTATCACACAAGGAAGATAATATCACATGTTTTTACATTCTCAATCTTTATATTAATTATCATAAGGGATTTGATAATAAAGCTTCATGGAAGTCCTTAGGTTAAGGATGTGTCTATATTTCTGTAATATTATCAGATGTGTCTATATTTCTGTAATATTGTCAGAGGTTAATCCTGTTCTGTCTTTGAGTAATGTCCTGATTCATCTTCAATCTATAATATGAAAAAACTAAGTCTAAAATAAAATGAAGCATTGACAAACCCATATTAAGTTGTATTTAAGATTTATAAGTAATGTGTACCTTGATAACTAAGAAAGTCGAGGAGTTACTTCCCTTTTCACTGAAACAGAGCTGCCTGCATTAATACTAGGTGTCTCACAAACAACAAATTACAGTGTCCATTGTTTTTTATCCGTCCACCATTCCTCTTTTAACAATTTTTGTTATTGCTATTTCTTGAGAAGTACTGGATGGATCTTTCTCAAATTTGATATGTAGATTCCCCAATATCCTTGGTTGTGCATGTTGATTCTCGGACTGATCAAAGAAACAGCCGTTGTTTATGCTGATTATCTTTTGAGAAGGTATTGGAAGGATGTTTTTTTTTTAATTTCATATGTAGGTTCTCATTGGTCCCTAGTTGTACAAAGCAAAAACAAGAAACCATATTTGATTTGGCAGTTAAAGATTCTTATCACTGTTTGTGAAGAGGAATTCTCAGATTTCTGAAATTAAAAGCAAATAAGAGAAATATATAGAAAATAAAGGGTAAAAACATTTTAAAAGTTTCAGAGAATAAGAAGATCAAACAATATTGGTAGTGGGCATCAAGATTCCTTGTAGGATCTCTTTTTATGTGACCTTGACCTTTTTATGTGACCTTGACCTATATATTTGGTTACAGAAGGAAGTCCTGGACCAGTCAGCAGACAATACAGATAGTGAGGAAAGGTGAGTTATCTGCATACTTGTCATCGACCAGTGTGACTTTCAAGCCCAAAATATATCCATAAATATATGTGTGCTTGACTTGTTAGAAGTGTAAGCTCAAATTTAAGTATGAGCTCATAAAAAATGTCAAGTGTTCAAGACTTAACTGTTTGATATCAAACATTTTCAAAATACTGCAACAGACAGCTCATTGTTACATTAATGGTGGTATAAGTTTTAATCTCTTTCACCTGAGCTGATACAGGTGTCACTTCTGTTGAATTCTTGATCTCTAAATTCCAGTGATTAGTCCAAACTTCACACTCAATCCTTTTTTTGTGAAAAATCTCAAAAGCATTGTCTTGTGTTAATTCCCGTCTTTTTTTGTTCCATATTCTTTGTGTGATGCTTCTGTTGTAAACACAAATTTTTCTTCATCCTCTGTTTTTAGAAAGTAAATGAAATATTGAAATGCTTTCATATTAAAAAGTAAATTTTTATGATGATAAGTAACACTCCTACACGTCCCTCTCCAGGACAGAGCTAAACTCCAAGTCTCTATGTAAGTATGTGTTTGGGCTGTTGAATGGACTTTCCTCAGTTTTCTCAACCACACTTGAATTGCCACTTTAGTTTGGTTGACGTTGATTCTAAGGATTTTAAAATCACCTTCAGCATGCTCAGTTTTAATTTTTTCTTCCCAGCGTTTATTTCATAATGATGTGTTTTGTTTCCAGACAGGAAATAAGAATAGGCCTGGTGATACTTACTTATGAGAACAAGTTATCTAAACTTCAGTCATTTAAACTGATGAAGGTTTCCTTATAATAACAATGATATCTTCTCTGTTATATTCTTCTGCACTAAAATTAAGAATAACCAATCTGTATTTTCAAAATTGATAAAGACTCCTTAAAGACAGAAATGGCTGATTATAAATCACATTTGTATTGCACAAAGTAGAGACAGAATCAATAATATCAGATAATGATATATAACATTAAAGAAATTTTAATTTAGAAGGTTAACAGAACAAATCAGTATTTATCAGTATACTTATGTTCATATCAAATAATAGACAAGAATCTCCAGTTGTCTATCTTTACAACTTCCAAGCATCCTTTTTTGTGGATGTCGGTTGGTGTAGTTGGTTAAGCAGTTGTTGAAGTTCCTGGCTAGTCAATTTGATGCCATAGATTGTGAGTTTGAGGCCCAGATAGAGCACGAGTCAAAAATTGTTTTTCTTTTTCTGTTGTGTTATCATGTTAACACAATGTGTCATATATCCCAAGGTCTCAGATTTTGAATTCCCTGTCGAAAATTGTAGCCATGTTGAATACATTCATGCATATGTCACATATATCTATTTCTCAGTAAGACCTGCATATCTTTGTTAGTGTTTATTAAGTTATAAATAAACTATGAACATCTGTTGAAAAAAATTCTTTCATCATAAGTAATTAGTTCTGGAGGTATCTGAACTGAATAGCCAAAAATAATGCTCAAACAAGACTATAGTCATCAATATTAGAAAAAGTTAAAATAACAGAGTAAAGTTACTAAGGGGGGATAACTTGTTAAAATAACATGTTAGAAAGCCTATAATTATTGATAAGGTTGTTGTGATGGTGTTGGGATTTATTTAATTACTCATTTTTCTTATATTACTTTGTACATATGTATCAGAATGTTTGTATGACAATACTTGTCTGGTAATGTCTTTATTATTTTTAAATATCTGAATATATTGAAGTTTTTAGCTCACCTATTGTATGAGGTCTAATAAGCCTTATAATCTAATGATGTCCTGTCATCACCTAATTGTTTTGAGGTTGGCTGATGTACAAGTATAGATATCACACAAAACTGTACTGACAACGCTCTTCAAAAATCATCAATCAATTATATTATCTTCCCTTCTGTTCAATTTAAATTATCAAGTCAACTAATTATCTTTGCTTCAGTTCAATTAAAATGGAGCAGAGTTTATCTGCCTTTATAAATTTGGATTGAACTTAAGAAAGAGCCTCCATGTTACAAACAAGGTGCATCATAGATTGATAGAGATATTAAGAATATTTCACATTTTCTTTTGTTTCAGCACCTATTTCTGACATAGATGATTATGTTGTGGAGAAAAAGTTGAATGAACAAATGGATGATCCTCAAGTCACCGACATAGATAGACTGAGTTTAAATGAGAAACTGCCTTACAGTATCATACACTAGAACCAGACTGAAGACTGCGTTAGAAAGACAATGTTAATCAGTAAACTTCTTTATAATGTCCATCATTTATCAGTTAACTTTATTATAAAGTCCATCATTTATCAGTTAACTTTATTATAAAGTCCATCATTGAGTTGTTGCCCCACTTATCACCAGGGCTCAAGAGCTACTGACACATAGATACTTACACCCTATTTACAATGACCTACTTTCAAGGTCACAATTTTCAAGGTCACATATCTTAATATATAAAAGACAAAGAGTAAATAAATTGAAAATGACTGTTATCATTATTTTGTTACACAAAACGTGGTAATAAGTCTTGCAATATTTGAAAAAGTCATTGATGTACTTTGTGTGTGTAAATACTGGTTTGTTCAGTAATTCCTGTACATTGAGTGTATACATGTTTTGTTGAGTCATTCATGTAGACAACAGGTATATGATCCACAAAGCCCAAGTGTTTTCTTCCTCCATTGAGAGATTGATTTTTAGTATTTTGTGTATTAAAGAAATAACATAACACTGTCAGTTGCCATTGTTCTGGAAATTTGTTCTTTTTCGTAATGAATTATAAAGTGTCACTTAATAAGAATGTTGATTCCGTTATTATAAATAACCCTTACCACCACCATGTCATCCTAACCTCCTCCACCCATCCTCACCCCACCCCCTTGTCATCCTAACCCAACCCCCTCCACCTCACTCCAACACCACTACCTTGTCATCCTAACCTCCTCGACCCCATCCCCTTGTCATTCTAACCAACTCCACCCATCCTCAACCCCCCACCCCTCTACCTCACTCCTACACCACTACCTTGTCATCCTAACCTCCCCCACCCCTCCCCACCTGTCACCCCAACCTCCCCCACCCATCCCCACCTTGTCACCCTAACCTCCTCCAACCCATCCCCTTGTCATTCTAACCCCCTCCACCCATCCTCACCCCCATCCACCTCACCCCTACACCACTACCTTGTCATCCTAACCTCTTCCACCTCATCCCCTTGTCATTCTAACCCCCTCCACCCATCCTTCCCTCCACCCATCCTCACGCCAACCCCTTGTCATCCTTAACTTTCCCCACCCCACCCCCTTGTCATTCTAACCCCCTCCACCCATCCTCACCCCACCCCCTTGTCATCCTAAACCCAACCCACCCCACTCCACCCCTCCCCCACACCACCACCTTGTCATCCTTACCCCCAACCCCATCTCTCTGAGTAATGTAATTGTATGATTCCTTACCATTTTTTCACTTGACAATCATCGTCTTTGGGATTATTTCTCTAGAATGAGTTTCTTACAAGAGATAGTAGTTGATACACCATTCTAACTAGACTCTTTTGCTAAGGTAATTCTGTGGGATACGATGTAGTTATATTATAAGTTTAACATTTAATCCATTGGTGTATAAATTGTAATCCATTTGTTGACATTAAAGGTACTTAAAGAAAATAGTTGTCAACTTTTGTCTCTTCAGCTCCAATGTAGTTCCATTTTATACCTCGTAATATTTTAATTTGAAATGGTGACAAATGAATTGATGATACATCGTGAATTGAAGATGATGGTACAGAAGTGTTCAATGACAGCATCATTCAAAAGTGTGGAACAGGTAAATGATTAGGTCATGTCGCCTCAAACTTTTGACTAGATATGTAGTATATTTCATGATGATTCACACTCCTTAGGAAATCTTTGTGGTAGATTGTTTATAGAACTATCACCCTTGACAATGTTATCATCCTCCATTCACATTTGGCGGAAATAGTGCATGCTGTATGCCTCTATCAGTCACAGTCAACACAGTTTGTGTTTATATGTACATAGTTTGGTATTTTGTGCCTTAATTTCCCAGACAGAAATATGCCTATACATGTAGGTAGCCCAAGGAGAGACAAGGTTGAAATATAATATTTCAGAGAACAAACCATTTCAGTATCAGTTATCCTAAGTGACTAAGCAAGTGTAAACATGATGAAATCTTTACAATAATTGAATGAGGAAACAAGTTGCTGGTCCAAATTGACAATATTTGCCAAGCATAACAAAAAAGACAAAGTAATTATAGAATTTAAACCCCTTATTTTGTTTTTGTTATATTAAAACTGTCAGTTCATGCCTTCGTTAGTGCCATTATAAAGATAAACCTACTGTATCAGATGACTGCTAATACATGGATCTTCATAGTAGATAACGGAACAATTGAAAACAAAAAGGAAATACAAGAACATACTGTTTAACAAATTTTTTTTTTTAAATTCTTACCCAGATCATACATATCGATAACTTCAGATGCACAAACTCTGCTTTCAACATGGATTCTTCATCAACATCTTAGAGGACGTTGGTCAAGTACAACTCCCCAAATATCATGTGATGAGATGTACAACTGATAAACAATGAAAGCAAGAGGAAATATTCTAAGCAATGCAGTCGAAAGGATTCTGACCAACTATCCATGATGGGTAACCAAATATCTGTGACAGCGGATAAAGAACACCTTAGTCCAGCGGTTACGGGAGACAATACTTCACTATGTGGGGAAAGCATGAAACTTTTTTTGTGGGTAGTGCATCTCAATACAAGTCATTTTCGATTAGGAACCACTTCAGAAACGCCCCCTGGTGGCGGCCATCTTGAAATTCAATATGGCGGCAAACTGGTGTATGTATTCCTCAATAACTCCGTTGTTAAGGCAAATACACACGTATTTTCAATGGCTACCCCCATGTTTTCATGGTCAGAGAATCATATGAAACTACTGTTGTGTCCGCCATCTTGGATTTCAAGATGGCCACCACTGTAACCGATTTTTAACCATATTTTATAGACTATTGATAAAATAATCACAAGAACAGTTGGGAGTATTAAGTTGAAGCAGATCATTAAGATGACTGTCTTCTCATTATAAAGTGTGCTCAAGGTGGTACCAGTCAGAATGGCAATTGGCCTATGTGTCCTAATCTTCAAAACACTGGCCGTCACAACTGCAAAATGTTGTGCACTTTAAGTTGGCTTTGAAACATTTGCAGTTTCTTTTACAAGTCAACTTGCAGTGGCAACACAACAACTCGGAGCAGGCTTTGGCTGCTTGTTGCAATCTTGTTCATACATGAGTCCATCGGCCATCCTGCATCTTCCAGCCCCAGTCTGAGGGGGAAGGGACTGTTTGATCGGTGGCCAATGCCTGTCCCCAGATTTACCCTGCTTGATAAGCAGCCCGTTGAATGTGCTCCTTTAAGGCAGCTGAAGTTGGTGGTAAGTTTTCTATTTCTCGACATCGTTTAGGGAACAAGTACATCCTAGCCTCATCTATCCCTTCCAAAGCACTTGTCCGGTCGTACAACAAAACCACGAAACGCTCAAGTCTAGCAATGAGATCCTGTGTAACCTCTTTGGGTTGCGTTGACAGTTTCACGAATGCATCTGTTACTTCAGGGTAACTCTCCCACGTTTGCCACGCAGATATCTTTCCACGGCTTAAAAAGAAGGACACATTGTTACATCCAGTAAATGCATGGAAGAAACACAATCCTGTGGATTTAGCTGGACCAAGGTGAGCTGCGATTTCATGTATTGCAATCCATCTGAATTTCTGTCCAGTTCCAAAGGCCAGCCACAATTCCTGAAGGCCGGTCGAGTAGAAACAAGATGTTGCAATAACAGCCACATCTGTTTCAACACTACGAATCGTGACTTTTTCATGACCACATAGGGCAGCATGCCTGGCGCGCAAGACAACTCGCGTATCAGCCTCCTCCTGTGAACATGGTTCAAGGCCCTGCTTGTCCATATCCTTGACAGAAGAGATGACACTTTGTTCGGTGGTAGTTATAATAACTGTGCCTTGTGAATTACACTCAGTGCAACTTTGGGCTAGAAACCTAAACAGTTCTTTCTTGTTTTCATCATTCCGCAGGACTACCTGGAAATGGTCAATGTTGACTCTGGAGCACTACAGGGAATAGTCTTAGGCCCAATTATATCCATACCACATGAATGACCAGCCACAGCCAGTTAAGTCCGTATAAAGGCTTTTTACTGACAAATGCTCACAATGGGAAAGACCACATAACACCCTAAAATGACTTGCACTGTAAAGAACATGGAAACACAGGCAACAACCTGGGGTATGTGATTCCACGCCAAAAATATGCTGTACTCTTGGTACTTGTACAAGAAGCAAGGGCGACGATTCTACACACAGAATGACCACATCTTGGAAAGAATTTCATCCAATCCATAGCTAAGTAACCAAATCTCAGAAGATCAAAATGGAAAGAGCACTTTGACAACACCTGTACCACTACACAACCAAAGAGACAGCAACATTAGAAAGCATACAAAGAGGATTTGCAAGATTTATCAAAAAAGACTACAAAGCTAGGGTGGAAGGAAGCATGACCAAAATGTTACAAGAACTGAATCTTCACAACACTTTAAACCAGGAGACTATACCAATGTCTTATATTGTTCTACAGAGTGGTAGAAGAGGACAGATACCACCAAAACCACCTGGTCATTCAATAACATTTAAAAAATGTAGAAGCAAGGCAAAAACATTGGTACATCATCAGTGTGAAAGCAACTGTAAATAATATCATCCCATCTGAAAAAACCTGAACAGCAATCATTATGTAGGCACTGCAACTTGACAGGAATCATCTGGAATAAAGCACGGTCTCCAGCGCCAGATTTGAATTATTCATGCTCATCCTTGTCACCGTGGTTAAGCCACCGCTGTTTGTCACCATCTAACAAACATGTATACACTACTACATTTTAAAAAGCCACTCAGATCTTCACTAAGAAAATAAAATAAAAGTTAAGTGATCCGAGTATGGACACAGTGAATCCTTGCTATTTTTAGTCCATGTATGTAGTCTTTGGATTTCATGACACAAATATAAGTGGTACCAAAGTACGAGACAAAGATTTTGGGTGTCTAAAACACTTTGGAACATTATTGTATATAGATACATTTCTTGAAGCATTCTCCAAACGAACCAGATATTCCTAAATGTATATCAATCAAAATAAA